CGCACCCCCCGGTACTCCCGCACCCGGCAGAGCCTCGCGGTAGCACCGGCACACGGCACCGACGGCAGATGGAGGATCCCCACCGCGTTCGGGGCCGAGCCCGGTGCCGCCGCCGGGGTGCGCCGAGGGATGAGCTGGGGGGGGGGACGGGGGGGGGGGGAAAGGGGGGAGGGGGGGGGGAGGGGGGGGGACCCGCGGCCCCCGCCCCGTACCCCGCAGTGACGCAGAGCGGGGACCGACCCGGTGCGGGGTGACAGCCGTGACGTCACCGCGGCCCCCGGCTGCCATGGCGCTCGGTGCAGCGGGGCACGAGATGGGGGAGGGGAATGGGGGGGGGGGGGGGGGGGGGGGCGGGAGGGGATAGGAGGGGAGAACCACGGAGAAAGGGGAGGGGGTTGGGAGGCAGGAATCGCCGGAAAATATATTAAAAGCGGAAAAACGGTATTTTTCGGTAAGGATGGGGGGAGGGGGGCACCGGGGCGGGTTGGGCGCACGGGGAACCCGTGTTGGGGGGGGGGGGCAGCCGAAGGAGGGGTCCCGCCCTGCCGCCCCGCTTTGTCCCCGACCTCCGCCACGCCGCCCCCGCCCCGGCCCCGCCGGGCCCCGCCGCTCCCTACCTCGCCCCGCCGCTGCCCCCGCCGCTACGAGGCGGCCATCTTGTGCGGCGCTGCGCCCGCCCCGGCGCGGGGGGGCTCCGCCTCCACCCGCCGAGCGGCCCCGACCGGGGGTGGCCCGGGGACGGCGGCCAGCAGCGAGCCGTCCCGGAGCATCGGGCGGGGGAGGCGGGGTGTCGAAGCGGGGGAGGGGGAAAGGGCTGCGGTTTGGGGGGCTGCAGGCCGACCGCAGGGATTGGGCGCGAGTTCGGCTGCAGGCCAAGCACGGAGCAGGACAGCCGAGCAGCTGCAGGTCCAGCGGCAGCACCGGCCGCAGGCCCGACTGGAGGCATGGCTGCAATCACAGCCACGGGAGCAGAGACGGGTTGTACTGCAGGCCGGCTATGTATCCAGCTGCGGGCCCAGCCAAGGCCCAGCTATAGGCCACACTGCAGCTGTCGGTCCAACCTTGGGCCCAGCCACGGGCCCTGCAGCCACAGGCCCTAATACAGGCCCAGCCACAGGAGCAGCTATAGGTGTCCAGCTGCAGGCCCGGCCACGAGCCCAACCAGAGACATGGCCACAGAGCAGCGTAGTCTGAAGTTGATAGCAGTAGCCACAGGCCCAGCCACAGGACCGGCTCCAGGCCTGGCTGCAGCCCAACGGCAAGCCCAGCTGCAGGCCCAACCGCAGGCTTGGCCACAGGCCCGGCTGCTGTGAGCTGACCTGGCCAAGACGTTCTGCCAGCACAAAGTGGGTCACAACAAAGCAGCAGCAAAGCGTCAAGAGTGGGTGGTGGTTGAAGGTACCAACACAGAACCAGAGCGCTGTGATGCTGTCGTGCTCCATGTTGGCAGTGGGACCAGGCTGTGGTGAGCGGGGTGTGGATGGACTTGTGGTCCGTGTGCCCTACATGAGGAGGTGGCAGCAGCACTGTAGTGGTGTGGCAGGTGTCACACAGCTGTCCCCAAAGTGGCTGAATTCACACCCGGCCCGTAAAACAGGGTCCACCACCTCCATTTTGGCTGTTATACCACAAAATCACAGTGGTGGTGTAACATCCCGCTCCCCAGTGCCTCCTCAGGGACAAACCCTCCTTGTCCTGGGTTGGAGTGATATCACAGCTTTTCTGCCAGCAAACACTGACCAGTTTGGTTGTCAGGATAAACTTCTGTTCAGACAGAGTGGTGATACACTGGCACAGCTGCACAGGGAGGTGGTGGAGTCACTGCCCCGGAGGTGTTTGAGAGCCATGGAGATGTGACTCTTGGGTCAGTGGACACAGGGGGTGGGCTGGGGTTGAACTTAGGGATTTTAGAGATCTTTTGCAACCTTTATGATTCCATGAAATCAGGGAAACCCTCCTGCCCAAAAGATGGACAAATTCAGTGCAGAACAGCTCAGGGTCCCGTGCACCAGTACCAGGGCTTCCCTTCGGGGTTTGCTCCCTCAAAGCTGATGGAGGGCAGCCAAGCAGGGCTTTGCAGTGTGCTTTTTGTGTTGATTGGGAGCAGTTGATGAGATGCTGATTTTTTACACTAATGAACCAGGAAGATGGAGAGCCATTTGAGGAGGGTGGCATTGGCAGCATCACTGAGCAACGACAAATTTCAGCCTCCAGCATCTTCCTTCTCTGTTTTGCAAGAATACCCATGGCTCAAAGAAACCCAGCAGGAGGAGGAACAAGTGCAGTGCTGGAGTGATGGAGGTGCGAGGGCTGAGCACAGGAGGTTCACAGCCAGCGGCACTCAGGGAGGAACAGGCAGAACCGGTCATGGTACAGCCAACCCTTGGGAGAGGCAAGGGGACGTGGGAACAGCATGCTGAGCCCAGGGCGTGCAGGGACCCGCCGGGAGCTCTCGCCCCTTGACATGAGGGGGGCTTTGGGGAAGCCCCTCTGCTGCCACCATCATCCCCAGCAGTGTCTTATTGAGCCACTTTTAACATTGCAGCGACGCAGAAGGGCAGCCTCAAAGTCCAGGCTCAAGGATGTTTTTAATGGCTTTTTGTCAAGGGCAAAGTGCGTGCTGCTGGGAGGCAAAGGGGCTGATTTACAATGCAGGGGCAGAAAGCCCCAATGTCCCCAAAATCAGCTGCTCCCTGGGCCTCAGCTGTCACCTCGCCTGTGGCTTTAAGGCAAAATCCTGCCCTCACAGGCAGCCTCTCATCCACCTGCAACGGCTGTGAGGCCCCGAAAAGTGAAGCAGCAACGCTTGGTGCAGGGCAGAATCCCACAGTGACGAGCAGGGAGCGCTGCCCCATCCACACCTCTTGGCTTAAAGCTTTGCCTGAAGTAAAAACTGTGCTCTGAACAACCAAAAAGAGCCAGGAACCCCCCTGAAATCAAGCCCCAGAGACAAGGGAGGGCCAACCTTCGCCATCTCCTATGGTTAAAGAACCGTATGTGCCGTATCATAAATCATCTCACTGCAACCACCAACCACCCCAAGCCGGTAAAACCAGAAATGTGGGTGCAAGGTGCTGCACTCTTTGTCCCGTGTGCAGATACAGAAATTGCCCTGACTTGTTGGCCTCGCAGCTGGTGCCAGGGGCGCTGGGCAGGGCGGGGTGGCCTGGGGACAGGGCTGTCCCCTTCATCGTGGGGCCCCCCAACAGCACGGGGGTGGGGATGGGGGTGGCGGTGGGAGAGCTCTTGCACGGTGTTTTGCCATTCTAACACAAAGAATTGGCAGAAAGAAACAAGTCATAGTGCTGGGCGATCCCCCATCCCCACGCGCTGGCATTTTGAGGGGACCAGCTGAGATTTTGGGGGCCATCACTGCAGCCTTTAAGCCAACCTAAGCCACAGACAAGCACCCTCTGACCCCGCACATCGCCCCGAACCACAGCGGGGGGGTGCAGGGAGGGCAGCACTCACCTCTCAGTGCCCCATGGCCACGAGAGAGTGATGCGCTGGGGGGAGAAGGGGTGAGGAGGGGCTCCCCGCTTCCCCCTCCTGAAGGCTCATGCAGGGACAGAGGGAAGCACGGGAGGGACGACTTCACTTTGCTACCCTGCTTCCAACAGACAGCATCCATGCGCCCCAAACTCTTGGCAAAAAGGGGTGCTTTCCCCTTTCCCCCTCCCCCTCTTTTTTTTTCTTAATTCTTTGCAAAACTTCAGCCTTCGCTCGTGCAATTTCAGCCCGAGGCACAGCGGCAACTTTCTGTCTGCCGATACGTACAGAAAGAGCGTTATCCGATTAAGAAAAGGGGAGGGGGAAGGTCGGCACGGCTGGGGCTGGGGACGGAGCGATGGAGCCGCCGCCGCCGTCCTTTGTTCTGCGGCCGCCACTCGGGGGGGTGCGGGGAGGGCAACGCGGGGCTCTGCGGGGAGCGAGGGGAGAACTGAGCCCAAAGGCTGTGGGGTCGGAGGTGGCCCCAGAGGGGAGGTGCGCTCTGCTGCGGGCACGGGGGGGGGGGGGGGGGGGGGGAGGGGGCTGTCGGTGGGGGTGTGCGGCGGTGGTCGTTGTTGTTGTAGGGCTGTTGTAAGGGCTGCGTCAGCGTCCCGCTCGGGTGTTACTGCAGGGTACTCAGCGGTGGGGCTGATGGTTACCGCAGGGCTGTGGCGGACCGTTGTTGGCGGGGTCCATGTCAGCATCCCCGCTGCTTATTGTTGTTGTTGTTGTAGGGTCGCCAGCTGTGGGCCCGTGCCGGGAACCGTGCTCTGTGGTTGCTGGGTGGCTCTGGGGGCTCCGCAAGTCCCACTGTTACTGTGGGGCTGCCTCTGCCCCCCTCTCCCACTCCCACCAGGCTGCCCTGCCCCACAGTTTCCTACCTGCCCCACCCGTGTTTACATTGGATCAGTCAGGTGGCCGCAGCCTCCCGCACTCAGGGCAGAGTCCTCCTTGCACCCCCCTCCCCACCCATTCCAGGGGTGTCCAATCCAGACATGAGGACACTGCCCACCCAGCGGGCACCGAACCCTCACCATTCCCCTGCCAAAGCAGTGCAGTCCTGGGAGCCACAGCCGAGCACTGTGCCCCACAGAGACCCCAATCTCCCCCTCCCCCCTCCAGAGATAACCAGGGGGGAAAGAAAACCAGGAGAAACAGCATCCCTGTGCTGTTGTTATCCAAGCACGACTCCCGCACAGGCCCTAACAGCCACCTGGGGGCACAGCAAAGCTCTGCCTGCCCTGGAAAAAAAGGATTTAGGAGATGAAAGACACCTCTGACCTGTAGCAGCCCTCATGAGAGATTTTATCCTATAAGAAGAAAGGGAGAGATGAGCCTGCTGTCTGTCCCAGGAGGCCCTGTCCCCAGCAGTGGGCATGGGGGGGGGGTTCTATGTGCATCTCATCCTCTGCACAGTGAGGTGCCCCCACATCTCTCCTTTGCTCGAGGCAGAGAAGAGCTGCGTGACGCTTTTGGTTTCAAGGAGAAAATAAAAAGAAAAAACAAACAAGAAAGCATCTGGATTTTGTTGTACCCTAAACACAAATAAAAGCAGAGATTTTTGCTTTGTTTTTTTTTTTTTTTTCTCTGTTTTCCATTGGAATGGACCCAAGCATGTTCACCCTGTGCTGCAGAACAGATGTGGGGGGGATCTGTGGCACGTGTAGGGCTGCAGCTCCCAGCGGCCTCGTGGATACGCACAGTGCTGCTGCAGGGAGTGCAGCTCAGGACCCAGCAGCAGTGCCAGCCGTGTGCCCATCCTCGTGTGCCCATCCTTGTGTGCCCATCCTCGTGGCCATGGGGCTCATTTGGCCTCGGGGTGTTGTGGTGGAGCTCGGTCTCGCAGCGCCTTCACGAAATCCTCCACCTGCAGGATGGGATGGATGGCACCAGCTGTGCAGCACGGCGGGGATGGGCAGCATCACCCACAGATGAAGGCTGAAGGCTGCAGGTCAGTTGGTGCCGTACCCACCCGTGCCATCAGCGCGTCCTGCGCAGCTGCGTCGTGCTCAAAGTCCCCTTCAACGTCCAGCACCAGGACGGGGACGTGCCTCACCTCTGCGAAATGCACCCTGTGGAGGGGCGGGAGAGGTCAGAACTGGGGAGGGCAGAGCAGGGGCGGGTAGAACCGGGCAGGGCTCTCACTCAGTGCTGCGCTCCAGCAGCCACCGCTCGTGCTGCGCGTGGAGCTGCTGCAGGTACCGCAGGGTCACGTCGCGCTCCTCCGGCCTCGCCCGGCACCGCAGCCGCTCCAGGCATCTCTGCGAAGCAAAGCGCCGCGTATCGCACCCGCACCGCTTTCCCGGCCCCTTCCTCCTCCTCTCCCTCCCGCACACCTGCGGGGAGGCGCGGAGATAGAGGAATGCGTGCGGGGCGGTGTGCGCGCCCAGCTGCCCCACGAGGAACGTGTGCCACTCCTGGTAGACGGCCCACTCCAGAGCGTCCAGCTGCCCGCCCTCGAACAGGCTCTTGGCGAACACGTACCTGCGGGCGGAGCAGAGGGGGGCTGACACACCCGCAGCGGCACCGGACTCGCACGGGGTCCCCCCCGCCCCGCACCTGTCGCTGTACACGGAGCGCTCAGAGACCCGCACGGGGCCCTCCGGCCGCTCGAGCTGCGCCTGCAGGCGGCCCAGGCATGAGAAGGTCTGGAAGGTGAAGGCCCAGCGCGCCGGGTCGCGGTACAGCCGCTGCAGGAGATTTCCGCCCTGCGGGGAAGAGCCGGCGCTCAGCCGCGGGTCCGCACCCACGCGGGTCTCTCCCCGCACCGCCGCCGCTCACCTCCGCCGCGCCCGCCGCCACCTCCCGCCAGCGCGCCACCGGCTCTGCCGCCCGCTGCCAGGCGGGGAAGGCGCGGCCCAGCAGCCGCAGGAACGTCGATTTGCCCACGGCTGCGGGCGGAGCGCGGCGGTCACGCGTGGGACCCGCGCTCCGCCGTCGCCCCGCCCCGCCCCGCCCCGCCGCCCGGTACCGATGTTGCCCTCCAGCGCCAGGCGCAGCGCCGCGCCGCTCCGCCCCATCCCAGCGCCGCCGCTCCCGGTGTCGCCGCGCGCGAATGCCATGCAAATGAGGGGGCGGGGCTTTGCTGCTTCCGCGTGACGTCGTGGCGCGGGAGAAGGGGCGGTGTCAGCGCGCGTGGGCGGGGAGATGGGGCGGGAATATGGTGATTTATGCAAATGAACCACCGCCATAGGGGTGGTCTCGGCTGCGTTGGAACGAGGAAAGGGTGGGGACGGGGAGTGGTGTTGAGGAGGCATCGGGACGGGGTGAGGGAGGTGTCAGCGCGGGGAGGAGACGCTGCGAAGAAGTCGGGGACACCACCGTAGGGTCCGAGCACCACCACGTGGTTGGAGGCATCAGCGACAGCTGGGGCACCGAGATCGTGGTGGGACATCGCGGTAGGATCAGGGCAACGCCATGGCGTTGGGGTTGTCGTTATCAGGTCGGTCACCACCATGCGGTCAGGGAAACCACCACGGGGTCAGGACACCACTGTGGGGTCGGGGCAGCACCATGGGGTGTGGGCACCAACAAGAGTCGGAGGCACTCACAGCAGAGTGAGAGCGTGACCATGAGGCTGGGGGCACCAAGAGAGGGCTGGGGGTCAGGATTGCGCTCATCCTCCCCCCGCTGCTCACTGCTTTCCATCCCGCCCCCTCCCACCCCACAACACTTCAAAATCTCCCAGAGAGGGGGCAGAGCCTGGAGAAAAGGCTTTATTGCGCAGTGGGGGACGGGGAGGAGCAGTGGGGTGGAGGAGGAGCGGGGTGCCCCAGCCCAGGCACGGGGCAGGGCGCTTAGAAGCACTTTCGGTGGACGATGGAGGGCCCGGCCTCGTCGTACTCGGGTTTGCTGATCCACATCTGCTGGAAGGTGGAGAGGGACGCCAGGATGGAGCCGCCGATCCACACCGAGTACTTCCGCTCTGGCGGGGCGATGATCTGTCAAAGCAGGGGCTGTTAGCGCGAGATCGGGACCCCCAAAGCACCCCGAGGTCACCCCACCGAAGGGAGGGTTTGGGGTGGGATGATCCCCATCGCCTACTTTGATCTTCATGGTGCTGGGGGCCAGCGCTGTGATTTCCTTCTGCATGCGGTCGGCGATGCCGGGGTACATGGTGGTGCCTCCGGACAGCACGTTGTTGGCATACAGGTCCTTGCGGATGTCGATGTCGCACTTCATGATGGAGTTGTAGGTGGTCTCGTGGATGCCGGCAGATTCCATGCCTGGGATGGGAGGGAGGCTCTCAGCACCCCAACCTCCCCACACCTACACAGGGCTCCCCCAAAGGGCTCATGGGTGCAGTGGGGTGCGCTGGGGCGTGAGCAATGAGGCAGCATTGGGGTGGGCTCACCGATAAATGAGGGCTGGAAGAGGGTCTCGGGGCAGCGGAAGCGCTCGTTGCCGATGGTGATGACCTGCCCATCGGGCAGCTCGTAGCTCTTCTCCAGGGAGGAGGAGGAAGCAGCCGTGGCCATCTCGTTCTCAAAGTCCAGGGCCACATAGCAGAGCTTCTCCTTGATGTCACGCACGATTTCCCGCTCGGCTGCAGGGGACAGGTGGGCTCAGCGTGGCTCTGCGGGACCCCCATCCCACCACCCCCATCCCTGACCCCGTACCGGTGGTGACGAAGGAGTAGCCCCTCTCCGTGAGGATCTTCATGAGGTAGTCAGTGAGGTCGCGGCCGGCCAAGTCCAGACGCATGATGGCGTGGGGCAGAGCGTAGCCCTCATAGATGGGCACATTGTGGGTGACACCGTCCCCAGAGTCAAGAACGATGCCTGGGAGGGGAAGAAATGTGAGGGATGGGGCTCGGAGGCATCCAAAGGACCCCCGATGGTGGACACCACATGTGAGACTCACCGGTGGTACGGCCGGATGCGTAGAGGGAGAGCACGGCCTGGATGGCGACGTACATGGCCGGGACATTGAAGGTCTCGAACATGATCTGCGAGGAGGGGCGGTGGGTTGGATGGGGTCACACATCTCCACGCCCCCCCCCCAAGCACACTGAACCCCACGGCGCCCTACCTGGGTCATCTTCTCACGGTTGGCTTTGGGGTTGAGCGGCGCCTCGGTCAGCAGCGTGGGGTGCTCCTCGGGGGCCACGCGCAGCTCGTTGTAGAAGGAGTGGTGCCAGATCTACGCAGGCAGAAGGGAGGTGGGGTCATCCCCTGGGATGGAACCGGGCCTCTCCCCTCTCCCTGTCCCAGGAGGGCTCTCACCTTCTCCATGTCATCCCAGTTGGTGATGATGCCGTGCTCGATGGGGTACTTGAGTGTGAGGATACCCCTCTTGCTCTGCGCCTCATCGCCCACATAGCTGTCTTTCTGCCCCATGCCTACCATGACGCCCTAACGCCAGTGGGAGAAATGGCCTCGTTAGCTTCATTTAAGCAATCAGAGGAAGGAGCAGAGAAAGGAGACATCCTGGGACCCACCTGGTGCCGGGGCCGCCCCACAATGGAGGGGAAGACGGCGCGAGGGGCATCGTCACCAGCAAAGCCGGCTTTGCAGAGCCCGGAGCCGTTGTCACAGACCAGGGCGGTGGTCTCCTCCTCACACATGGTGGGGCTGGGAGAGGCTGGCGCTCAGGGGGACCTGGGGGAAAAGCTGGGGTGGGAGGGAAAAATGCATTAAACGCAGCAGATGCAGCTTTCTGCCCGGCTGTCAGGTTGGGCTCTGCATGGTTTGAGTTCTTTTGCTGCTGGGGATGCACAGCTCGGCAAAATCCTATGCGGGCCACGATGCTCAAAGTGGGGCAATGCTCAGCCCCAGCACTGCTCCTTCATCTCGTGCCAGCTGATGCCCAAAGTTTGCTCCAAAGCTGTCAGCTCATGGCTGGGAGCTCCGCGTGGCATCCTGAGCTGATACCCCTGAGTGGGGCAGGCAATGCCCAGCGGTGGCCGATCCCATCTCAGTGACAGCCCCTCTGCAGCCTTTCCCAAAAATGGGAAAAAATGCTCAAATGTGCTCTCTCCAGACTGGAGGAAAGCAGGCAAATAGCCCCAAATAAAATAATAATAATAAAGACAGGGATTTCTCCGTGCCTGCAATCGTGCAACCCACGCTGGCTGCAGCCTGGTTCTCTTCGGCTCCATGGACGCCGTGGCTGGAGGGGGATCGTGGTGGGGCTCAGCCCCCCCCCATGCAGTGTAAATGAAGCTGGGGGTATCCCAAAGCCCCGGGGCACCCCAAAGCCCCCAGGGCTGTGCAGGGGGGGGTGGGGTTGTTCCTTCCTGTTCCCGCGAGCAAAGAGAAATCAGTGCTGGGCAGTACTCACCGCAGACGTGAGAGCTCCTTTCCTCTGGGACCGAGTCCCGATCTGCTTTGGTATAAATACCACGAGCCCACGAAACCTCAGAGGCGGATCCTCTCTACACAAAGACCCTAAATAGGCTAAGTGATGGTGTGTTAGCCATATGGCCATATAAGGTGTTTTATTGCATTAAATTGACCTTGGACTGATGGTAGGACCCAGCACAGTTAATTATTGTAAGGGAAAAAAAAATCTACGTGGGGATGCTTAGGAGGCAACATCCCATTGGCGAGTCTGTTCCTTTTGTGCTACGCTTCAATAAACAGGAGAGACACAAGTCCTTATAAGTGACGTTCAGCAAAAGCGAGGTGGAGGTGCTCCGGTCTGATGGCCTTTGGTCCTCTCTGGTTACAACCCTGCCCGGGAGGGCGGTGGCTGTAGGGATGGCCTGGGACTGTGCTGTGCACCTGAGTCATAAAATCATGGCATATCCCAATTTGGAAGAGGTTCAGCATCCCAACAGCACACCAGGTGATGGGCGGTGCGTCACAGCCTCGAGGTGCTGTGCTCATCCCTGTGTCTTGGCGTCTCCATCCTGGGGGTTTCCTCCATGGGATTTTTTTCCCTCCCGTTATTGCAGTTGTTGGGACCCCGTGGAGCAAATGGGCCCAATTCAGTGCAAGGCTGAAGGTGCTGCAGGAGTCCTAGAAGTGCTGCGTTCACCCTGACAGGGAAAAGGTCCCCTGGGCACCATGCAGCCTCACTAAAACCCCAAACCCTCATCGTTGAGCCCCACGTGGTCCTTCCAAGCCTGGCCCTGCGTGATGGGTGCATCCTCAGCTGCCTTCCAGGAGGGTTTGGAAGCAGGACAAGCCCCAATCCCAGGGGGAGGTGGAGATCTGCTGCCCCCGAGCAGCACTGGGGCCACCCCTGTGCCCCACCATGACAAAGGCACCAGCCCCCATCCCTCACACAGCACCTGCTGAACTGCCTGGTGCCTTTTTAAGGGCAGCCGTCCTGTTCTGGGGCCTCTCAGAAGAGCCTGAGGATGGGAGGAAGCCACGGAGCTGCTATGGGGAGCTGTGGGAAGTGAGGCTGCAGCTGGGGAAACTGAGGCACAGCGCAGGCGCTGCCTCCTGCCTTGTTTTGCTGCATCCCAATCCATTCTCGGGGTGAGGGTGGGGAGGTGAGGGTGCAGCAGTGAGGACCCACGAGCTGCGGGGCGGCTGCCAAAAGGGACACAGGAGATCCCACATGGCCTCGGAGCTGTCATTATGTCAGTGAGGATGTGGGCACAGTCCCAGAGCGTCCCACAGCGGTGACTCTGCCCCGGTTCCCCCCGTCCCTCGGGGCTGGATGTGTCCCCAGGTCCCAGCTGAGTGTTCAGTGCTGTCGGCACCGCGGCTCACGCGAGACACCCGCAGCCACTTTCATCCCCAGCCCGCGTCACAAGGCCTGCTGCCAAACATGAGGTCACCAAGGCAAAAGGTTGCCATATATGACTGCAAAAAAAAAAAAAGCCAAACAAACACAAACACAAAAAAACCACCCAAAAAAAGGGGAAAGAAAAAAAAAAAATCAAAAGGGAGTGGTGGGATGGAGGCAGCCTGGCCACCGGGTTCCATTGCACCCACACTGCGGGGGGACCACAGCCACACAGAGCTGACGGCGTCCCAGCAATAGAAAAGGGAACTGTGCCCACAGCCACGCCACCTCCAGCCCCGCTGTGCCCAAACCATAGCGGTCCCAGCCCTCCTCAGCCCCCCGGTTCTCTCCCAGGGCCACGCAGGTCTGTCCCACGGCCACAGCAGTCCCTGTGCTGGGTCTCAGCCTCGGCACGGAGAGGCTGAAGCCGGGACCGCGGTGGCAGAGCCCAGAGCCAGAGCAGACGCAGCCTAAAAAGGAAAGGTTCGGCCACCGCAGCCAATCCAGCTGCCGGAGCGTGGCCGTGCCCGGGCTGCAGGGAGGGCTGCAGGCAGCCTGGGATGCTCGCAGGAACGCCCGGCATCCCACGGCACGCGAGGCCAACCCCAGCGCCACGAGCGGGAGGGGGCCGCAGGCTGAGGGCAGCGGGGGGAACGCAGAGCTCCCCGCACACCGCCAGACCTCCGCACCTCCCTATATGGGTAACATTCGCACGTTTCGCTGCTGAGGGCTCCTGGCTGGGAGCTCGGGCACGGGCTTGGTCCCGTTCCTGTGTGCCTGAGGGCACAGAGAGGCACGGGTGGTGGGAAACCCCCCGCAAAACATTCAGCCCTCGTTGTTGCAGCAAATAAAGCATTTCCTGCAAAGCGTGGTTTCGTTCGGGCGTCGCTTTGTAGCGAACTCCTTTGAAGGTCCGACAGTCCCAGCTGCAGATGGACGGGGTGCTGGGATGGGGGAGATCTCCC